TCGCTTGTTAACAATTATTCAGTACTTGACTTAATTATACGTAATTAAATTAAGCAAACACTCTATATATCTATAGCATTCACATTAAACATATTTTTATATAACATACATAAGAACACTCTATATTTATGATAAAGCAATCCATGCAAAGTATTCAAGAAAATTCACGTGCGCAATAGGCTCCTTGGAATAGGTGTCATAGGAAACCGACCCTTGCCCAGTCATGGAAAAGTCGCGTTGAAACGAAAATTTGATAAAATGAATGAAATGAAAATTTGATTTGATATGATTGTGAATTATTATCTAAGTCGGTTTCACAGAGAAATAAATAAAAACTGGATGCGTGACCCCAAGCGCACAATACGAGTAAGTGAAACGTAAAAAATAGAGGATTAATTAATTTGTAAAGTAATTACTTAATTCCGGACCTTACATTGGTAAGGTATTAAGGAATAATATGTGGATATTAAAGTATTAAAATGATCTGTGTTGAAGGGTAAACATTTGTTTACGCGTGTCTTTTCCAGGCATTCCCTTCAGTGTTCAGCTAATGACTCTCATAATTAATAGCCCGTGGAAGAAATAATTTTCGATCTACTCAATGAGGAATCCTCACAACTCCTCGCCGAGGTGGCTTTGAACCCCGTTCAGTCAGGCAGATATTATTGCTCGCAAGAGTCTAAGAGCCAAACTCGGTGCTTGTAAATAAAAATAGCTAAGTTAATTTTTCTGAAAGAGCTGAGACGATAAAAGCTAATAAATAACTGTTGTAAATAAAAGCACAGGCAATACCGGTTTGTTCATCTAACCTTGTTTTCTTGAATCACTACCACCGACAGATATACTTGGCTTATCTTCGATCTCTAACACATTTTTTAGATCCATAGGGAATGGCCAGTTTGAGATTGGGAGATTAGGCTAACGGTCGGTCTTAAGGATGGAGTATGGAGAAGGGTCAGGGAAGGAAGGAATGCGTGTAGTCTTTCGAATTCAAATGCTCTGCTCCGGAATTCACGTGGAAGTGATCAGGGGAACCACTTGTCAGATCAGTCGGCTCACGAATTCGATCTCGGCAGGCCACAGACACTCCGATGCTAAACACACCTCACAAATTTCTGGCACCTCACAGAGATCGAACTTGCGACCTTCTAATTATCAGCTCGCTGGAGCCGTAAGTTGTTGCTTTGAAGTGAAATTAATGTTATAGATAATATAATAATTGTAGTAATAATAACATAATGTATTATAGGCTTGTTCAAAAGAGGGCAGTATAAACCAAGAGTGCAAAATTTGCATGGCGAAATGCGACGACATTTACTCGCACTGTCACGCGACGTGAGGAGTCGCCACTAGACAAGAGTGAGATATTCAAGGTCACGACTTTGTTTTTACATGACATGACACACATCTGCCAGTTACTTTGTCCTCCCTTTGTTTGGCCTCCATCATCGTCCTCACAAATTATATGGATTTGGGGGTAGGAGGCGCTTGACACCGACTTGCAAGCCATTAATCCTCCGTCAGGTGACTCCTGCTTTTCCTGCTTTTTTAAATTCAGATTTCAATGAAAGGAGACAATTCATTCTTGTAACATTTATCTTCTGACTAAATTCTAAACATGACTATTCGTTCTTCTACCGTCAGGAAGCCAGTGTTAAAAATTGAATGATCATGATTCCATTTCTTGTATCCCCGAAGTAGGGCAGATGTCAAAGAATGCATTGTTCTCTTTATGTACAGTGAACAAATTGCTCCTCTTGCCAGACACAAAGAGTTTCTTTCATGTATATTTTTGGATCTGCGTTCAAGATTTACATTCTCAATCCTTACAACTTCGGCATTATATGTCTCTTCAGTCATTTTTTGTCACATTTGGCAAATCCTGAATTTTCTCGAGCCCAAAGTCTTTTCTAAAGAGACATGCGTATTCAATATATAATATTTTATTTATAATTAATACGAGAATCTCTAAGAAGATAATTTGTTAAGACATGTTTTTGTAGCAAGGGCAGAAAAGAACCGTTACTTTGCTACACAACTGCAATTAAATGATGTAAATTATATATTATCAACTTCTTAATTTAGGGTGTACTATTTGTCTTCCATGTTTTTAAAACGCAAAATGATAATGTTGTAATGTTATTGGAATAATTAAATTCAAAATCAGTATAATAATAGTAATATTAATAATAGTAATAATAATAATAGTAATAATAATAATAGTAATAATAATAGTAATAATAATAATAGTAATAATAATAATAGTAATAATAATAATAATAATAATAATAATAACAATAATAATAATTCTGTATCTGTAATTCAAAATAACTGCATTTTCAGAAGATCGTATGATAATTTACATGTTATCAACACATGTACAATAGCTTTTTGTAAACTGTCGGTCTGACCTAATCCAGGAACAGCTCAACAGTTTCAATAGAACTTTTACTGAAAGCTAAATTACATATTCAGGCTTACTTGAAGCTACTTTTTTCTCATTCTCTTCTATAACAACAATTGGTGATTCTAGAATATCACATAGTTTCTTGCATTAGTTGTAGTGATTACTCAATATTATAGTCTACATGAACCTGAAAACATGGTTCCAACCAGAAAAATTATTTTCTCGCACTGATATTTGAACTCAGGTTTTTAGAATTAGTACACCATTCAAGCCCTCAACGCCATCAGATACACAGCTAATCCCAACATTAGCAACTTTTAAAAAGTTGAACATTTTCATTATTAGTAAGATTGTTTTTATTATATTATTATATATTATATTATTATTATATTATATTATTATTATTATTATTATTATTATTATTATTATTATTATTATTATTATTATTATGATGATGATGAGATAGTTACATTATTTCAAGACCTAGTGTTCAATAAGATATTTTATTAATAAAATCAATATTGTATTGCATTGTTAAATTTTTGTTTGCAATTTTCGAAAATAGAGAGTTCGCCTAAAATGCTACCGGAACTTGCATCATTTTTGAAGCGTCTTTTGTTCTATCTGAGGAAACAATTTGGAACCGTTTTAGAGAATTTTGTAAAATTAATTGCACTAACTTCATCATAAAATTCCGAGAAAACCACTGTTAAAAATTGTTCATTATCTTATTTACAACTACCTCCCTACTATAACTATTCTACTATATATTAAAATACCCCAAAATCAAAATATCCCTTTCAAACTCACTGGACCCCGAATTTGGCCAGATTTATGGGGAAACATCAATTTTGAAAAAAATAAATCTGAATGGTTTAGGCACTGACGTTGACAACACAGGAACGAACAGACGGCCCCGATGTGCATTTGTAGAATTAATTTACATTTAGGAACGAAGTTTACCCAATGTTTTCAGAACAGAATCTCAGAATACTTTTTCTGTCCAAAATTCTCCTAATTTTGGCAAAGCATTACAATAATTATCTTTATTACGTAAGTATGTAGTGTAGTGAGAAAGTAAAAATGAAGAAATGAGGGTGACTTGCCAAAGTGGATCCAACTTTTTCAGTGGTTTTGTTGGTAGGTGGATTAATGACCATAGTTAGGATATCATCGCAACACCTTCATAGCCGACCATTAATGTGCGGTAATGATCCAGTTGTTTCTGATGTTAGAAATTTTTCTGGGAGTATGCGGCCCGCAATGCATCTGACACTGGTCTTACGCATAGTAACAATGCTGGTAATTAATAGCAGCGATAATTGTAGCGAACATGGCAGTCACGACGGAGTGAGGCGAAGTTGGGACGTTGTCGAGTGGAAGAGGGTGGAGCATTCGTATGATGCGAAGGAGAGTCCGGGTAAGATATAGAATTCACTCCGTCTTACCTAGTTTATTCTTTTAATTAACCAGGAAACGCGGGGTACTTCACCTCATAAAAGTTCCAGATATCTAGAATCATGGAGTATAATAATATTTTAGTAATTCAAAGAGTTCGATTCTTAAAAGAATAATCAAATTTTCCATTATAGAATTTCTTTAAGAACTCAGTTTCGTTCTCAAATCTTCGAAGAGTTTCGAAGATTTGTAAGACCCCTCTCTATTTAAAAGTAACAATTATCTTGAAATTACAAAAACTCGAGGGTATCAAATTCTAGAATGGAAAACAGCCAGGCACAGTGCAGGCAGACACCGCATAGCGAGTAACCGCCCTCACAACGGGGACGATGTCATTGGAAGAAACTGAGCGATGTAATTTCCGTGGAACGCAGCCCTTAGTCTGTCGCGGGCGACGTCTGGCGGCTGGCAGCGGGCGGCGGTGGTGCCGGCGGAGGAGGCAGAGGCGGAGGAGGAGGAGGAGGAGGAGGAGGAGGCGGAGGAGAGGAGGCGGAGGAGGAGAGGCGAGGAGGAGAGCGGGAGTGAGCGGGAGCGTAGGAGGGGAGGCGGAGGAGGCAGGAGGTGGAGGAGAGGAGGAGCGGAGGAGGAGGAAGGCGGAGGGAGGAGGAGGCGGAGGAGCGGAGGAGGGAGCGGAGAGAGGCAGGAAGCGGAGGAGGAGGAGCGGAGGAGGAGGGGAGGGAGAGCGTAGGAGGAGGAGGCGGAGGAGGAGGAGGCGGGAGAGGGGAGGAGGGAGGAGAGGCGAGAGGAGGAGGGAGGGGCGGAGGGAGGACGGAAGAGGAGGCGGAGCAGGCGGAGGATGAGAGGAGGCGAGAGAGGACGGAGGAGGAGGAGGCAGGAGGAAAGGGGACGCGACGCGGAGGGAGAGCAGCGTGAGAGAGAGGTCAGTTGTTCCGGGTGCGGCGGGTGACGGAGAGGCGGCGGCAGGTGGCGGTGGAGGAGCAAGCGGCTGGCGGCAGAGGAGGATGAGGCGCGGTGCGGCGGCGGCGGCGGCGGCGCTCGGAAGCGCAGCGTGAAGGCCGTCGCCCCGTCGAGGCGGGCGCGCCTGCCTCGTCCCATCTGTTCCGCCTCGGCAACTGGCACGCCGCCACGACAACGATCCCCTCTTTCCAACGCCCCGCCTCTCGCCCCACCCCGCCTATCTCCATCGCATCTTTCGCAGCGTAGCTTCATCTTCTAAAGTGGGATCAACGCTCGCGCTGCACCGCCACGAGCCACTGACACCCTTCGCTTCCGGCGACCTTCTTCCCCTGCAGCCGCCGTAAACTCTTGGCTCACCCACTTCCCGCCTCTGCCGCCTTGCAACGCGGTCTCCGAACTCGGATCCACCGGCGCTGTACAGTTCTCGTTTTTGGCCTGGTTCCCTCGCCTCGCCATTCCCCGCCACTGAACACCATCTCTAAATTTGGCTTTACACGTCCACTGCTTCATCACCTTGGAACACAATTCGCATTCTTTTTGCAGCATTAGTTTTTCAGTTTCCCTCTGTCAATAGTAGAATTGATTTGTGCTGTAAACATGCGAACCAAAGTCATCCATTCTCTTTGCACTTCGACTCGGAAAGTCTCTTGATAAAGTAAGGCAAAAATCAGCGTTTCTAACCTTCTTTATATCTGATTAGCTGGGGTATGTCGAAGTAGCCCATGAATGTATGCGATGCGTATGCGATTTATTTAACACAATCGTCTGTTAGGCGGGAAATGGGATGAATTTCGTCTGTAGTGTAAAATAGAAAGTAAATTTATTTATATCATCACCGCCCCGCCCCCACTCTGTCTCGCCCCCACCTCCCTCCTCCCCGTCCCCTTCCTTACCACCTCACCGCTCTTCATTCCGTTTCGCAACGCCCACCCCACCTACCCTTCCATATTTCGCTGTCCTGCTGCCGCCCGCCACAAACGTCCCTACCTCGCTTGTCTACCAGCTCCTGCCTCGCCCGGCCCGCAATACTCGGATAGTATTACCTTTTCGTTGAACTCGCAGAGAAACTCCCGAAATCACGTGTTCATCTCTTTTTTACCTTTTTCTCTCATTCATGGAAGCAATTTAAAACGCCTTTCCTTTTTGGGGTCAAATTCATCGCGATAGGAACATACATTCCAAATTGCACGTTTCAGTAATTTTGGCACCGTGTTGATATGTCAGACTGCGAATCTGTATGTTTTTGCTTTTATAAGTGACTTTATTTATTTTAACTATTCTTTAAACTACATTTTGTAACACGTGAGTGATATGAGTCATTCTCTTAGAAAACACCTGTATTTTAGAGTGTGACTATATTGCTATATTTCCCTCTGTTTACAATAATTACAATGTCTGAACAACACACACTATCAACATGATAATATTTCACATCTATTCTGTTTTCAGAGTGTGGAAGTGGGATTTAAATGAAGTGGTCAAAGCAAAATGGAACAAAAGAATATGCACATCCTTCTAAAGCCGCATTTCATATTCAACATCGCTTCCGCATTCAAGCAGTCAGTTATAAAAACTCACTTATTACATTTTCAAACGTTGACATTGGTATTTAAATGGCTTTAACTAGATTTACCGAGCATATTGTAACATAGGAATGCAATTTGGTACACAAAGTCGATTCCATAGCACAGAGTGAAGTCATAAAAAATGACGATTGTGTAACTTGTAATTATGCACATTGGGGACATACTACGTCAATAATCCTTCTAACGGTGAGTTCATATTGTCTAGAGAATTACTCATCAAGAGATTGGCGATATTTTGTTGTCTTCGGTAACAATATCTTGAGTGTATTATCCTTGTTCAGATAAGTTTCATATAAAAGTGTACGGTCATTATGGTTTGATCAGGAATTTTACAGAAACAGGCTCTGCAGGTTAATCAAGGATTGTAGTTAGACAATTTTTTATTTACTCTTTCTTCATTTTTTTCACTTTTGCTTGACCCACGTGAATGGTTCGTAGACATGTTACGTCAAGATTTTTTTTGTACCAAAAGTACCTTGTGTCTTTTGAAAACAGATACAGAGATTGCTTATCTACCACTCATTTATAAGGTCTCATCAATATTATAGCTATGTAGCAATTCAGAGACAGCAACACATCAGCTGATTCTCTTCTGTAAGAATGTTGACATTGGCATTTCAGAATGATATTGATTTTGGTCACTGTTTCAAATATTTTTTTGTCCACACTCACATCTATTTCATATTGGTTCTCTTTCTCCCCAAACCCTTGTGCCTTCTGACGAATACTATCATCTTCTTGTATGTTATTACATGTGACGAATGCCTGGAAGAAATATCCATAAGCGGCGCTATGTAGGCTGATAAAAGAAATCGAAGCAGTGAAACTGCCCATGCCATCATTTTAAACGCTTCTAGTGCCCACATTTGCAGATGCCAATAGTGGACTAAACATTCATATGCGTGTCCTACCACGTTCTGACTTTACATGCAATTTTGAAGTTTTTAATTGTGACAGCCTGTTTCTTTTTAAGTGAACTCTCTCTTGCCTTCTGCTAGTCACAAAATATAATTACTTGCAGTTTAATTTACTTTGAATAAATGAGAACTTTGAAGCTCATGTTTGGTGTAAGAATTGAAGCCACAAATGTAATAGTTCTTCACGTTCTCCAGTGTGTTGTCATCATTATCTTGTAAAACATCGCTCCTTGAACTTTTTATGAAAATTGTTCGTACTAATTTTCACTTGAAAATTTCCTGTTTCTCTTTAGATAAAAGTTTTGTATTGCTGGAAGAGCCAACATTCGGTAAAGGCTCTTCCTCCTTCAAAATCATTATACCAATCTAGCGTGTATAAAAGCACATGTATCATGGTGTATTGGTGAATTATTACGCTATATAATATTTTTGCGAATTCCATATCATCGACTTCGATAACGAGTCCATACTCAGCACATCGCAACTTTGTCTCTATCATTTTGACATTTATAAAATTAATTCGTCTCATGATACTGATGTACACATTGTATGCTCCAACCCCATAAACAAACAACAGATGGCCTCTTCCTGCAGCTATACTATCCTCACAACGTCTAGAGTATGATCTTGTTAGAGGAGCTGCAATATGCCGGAGCTGAATGGCGCTAGCAGACCTCTGAAGTTTGCATGGAAATCACTAATATACCTGGGTTTGAGCAATTTATATTCTAAACATGTTTCCGTGCGATTCTGAGCTTTTGAGGTCACGCACATCCCTTGTGAGTAAGAAAATGGCGCAAAAACTGCCGCAGGCAAATTGTTCCATTATACTTTTGTTCGATTTACTAAGGAAAATTTACCTACGCCCGTTCTTTGAATTATTGATCTAATTTGTGATCAAATCTATTAAAACAATTCTGTTTATCTAGCTTTACCGGATTTCCTACTATGTGTTGCAAACAGTAAATTATTCAGTGAGAAAAGTAGTGCCTTTCGCGTCTGTACTGTAGTAATTCCAAACGCGCTGACATTTTCCTCCGAAACATGTATTTGCCGCTCTATTCTGAATTTTCTTTAACTTTTTTATGTCCTGTTCTATACGGATCCCATTCACAAGCACAAAATTCCATTATCATTCAAAACACAATAGTATTAAAATATAAAAACGGTATTTACAGAAAGACAATATTTACAGAAAAACAGTGTTTATAGAAAGAAAAATAGTGGTGCCAATACAGCCCTACTTTCTCGCCATTAGTAATGGTTATGTAATATTATTTATACCTTTTTTTCTTTCCAAATTTTTTTGTAAAACTCATTTGAAATAATATAACATTTGGTGCAAAAAATAAGCATAATGCAAGAAAGTAAAATATTTATAAGTTAATAAATAATACGATACTGATAGCGTTGGAAAACAAATAGATCGAAAAATATATGAGTAATTATTAAACACCATGGTAGTGCAATACACAACAAATATACAAAAGTATTTGTTTTTATTTCCACTAACTAAAGCAGCCGTCATTATCTTGTGGCGCGGCGTTTCGACAATGGGTAACAACAACTAACAATGACCGCTTATCTTTTTTTAAATATATATTTATTAGTGAACAAATGTTCATAGTTCAGTATTATTTATACTACATCATATGTATTTTATGACTTATATTCAACTTAAATGCTAATCTTACAACTAAATATAACTACACATGAATAGGAAACTCACAGAGCACCTAGTGATTAACTGAGTTCTGAAAATATGCTGAGGAATGAATCTAATGGATATCAATTTTTTATTCTTGTTGAGAGCTGGTAGGTGGTGGCTAGGTCGTAATGGGTGGCTTGGGTTATTGTGTTTAAACCGCTCATCTATTCGTTTTCACATTTAATACAATTAAAGAACGCAATTTAAAATGAAATAACATAAATATATAATAATAAATAATAATATTAAATAAGAAATACTATACACATTCTAACTTAGTACCTGACTGCCTCAAATCACCTACAATTACGATAAAGAAGCGCAGGATTTTTTGACCGGGCGATTGACTTTGATGTCCAATTACTCCAAAAATACTCATAGTTTCGAAAAATTTAACACGAACTCATTTGAAAATTTGTTTTAGATTAATACATTTTATTACGAAAAAATGTATCTTCATAATTGTAGTTGTAGGAAGACGTCAAAATAATTTTGAATTTTTTCAATTGTCGAAAAATCAAAGTTTTCAACTAACATGAGACCTACGCCATTTCTTGAAACGTTCTTTAGACTATCCAACAACAAAATTTAATCAAAAGCGATGGAGTAATGTTTTTAAAAACTTTGAAAACGTCAAAGGGGTTTAACGTAAAGTTCCCCCAAAATTAAAATATTGATTTCAAATTCAAGCAGCCGCGACATCAGTCAAATCGTTCGAGGAATATCGATTTTGGAGAATATCGGCAGAGTGGTTTCCCTATTAGCGTAGTTCACACACAGACAGACGGATAGAGACGGACAGAAGTTTTCCCGCCAATCTATTTTTCGATTTCAAGGACCCACAAAACAATATTCATGATTCTATACGGTATCTGTGGTCAAGGTTTAACCAAAAAATTGGAGCCATTGCCGAGGAAATTTTGAAAATGTAGAAACTTCATGTAAAGTACCTCAAAAACATTAAATATCCGTCAATTTCGTACAGATCGATAGAGGAATATCAATTTTGGACAAAATCAGCTGAACTGTTTTGGCGCTAGCTTTGACCACGATTCCCGAGAAGAGGGAAACGGAGAAACAGATAATGAGCGGATGATCGGTCCACGGAAATTACGTGCACTAGGCCAGACGGAATTATTCGGATCGCACGACGGACAGACGTTTCATTCTGAAAACGGACTAGACGGCTTCAAATTACGGACAGACCGGACAGTTTAACGCGGACGACAACGGATTCCTAAACGGACAGACGGACTACGGACAGACGATACGAGACAGTATCGCGCGGCAGACGGCGGAACAGAAATTAACGACGGACAGTCACGGAGACGGATCAGTACGGTGCACACGGGACATCCACAGGTTGAACGGACAGACGGTTTCTACGGACAGACGACGGACAGACGGCGCGGTACGGACAGACGTACGAACTACGCTAACGGACAGACGGACGGACAGAGGACGGACGACAGACGCGGCTACCACAGTGACCGACGTACGCACAGACGGAACGGACAGACGGACGGGAACAGAACAGACAGACAAGACAGACAGGACAGACAGAAGAAAGACAGACAACAGACAGACAGAGGACGCGAAATTATCGCAACGTTTTCTATCAGTTTTATCAACGGTTTTTTTACGTATGCGGAAAACGAGTCTTCAATACGGTAATACGTTTACACGGCGTATTTCACGGACCGACGGTAACGAGAAAACGGCACTGATACGGTAGTCGCAAGCGGACAGAACAAGACAGACAGACAGACCAGCAGACTTATATCTGAGACGTCTGCACGACAGACGACGGACAGACGACAGACGCGACAGTGCTCCGCAGTTACGAGAATTACATGACCAGGACAGTGACAGACAGATAGACTGGACGGCACGTAGATGATCTCACGTGAACGGACGGACGCCACTACCGGACACGGACGGACGGTGACGTTACGACGGTCACGAGACGGACGGACGGACGCCGACGACGACGGACGACGCAACCGGACCGGACGGACCGGACCGGGGGAACAGAAACCAGACAGACGGGACGGAGGACCGACGGAAACAAGGACGGACGGCACAGACGGACAGCACGCGACAGACGACAAAACAGACAGCAGGACCAGCACAGACAGAAGACAGACGGGACGGACGGACGGATACGGAGTATCGTCAACGGATTTTTCTCAATTTGTACGTCGAACTGTGTTTATCGGCGAACGGAATTCTTCAAAGATCGGTATACTGAGCGTATTTACGGACGACCGACTGAGAGACTATCGAGATCGGTACGAGCGACGGACAGATCAAGACAGTATGATCAGCGACAGACCAGACATACATGTCCACGAACAGACAGACAGACCAGATCTGAGGACTGGTCACGTAACGACAGACGGACGACAGAACGGACAGGACGGACAGTATCGGACAATACCAGACAGACAGATCAAGACAGACAGACGGAACGGACGGTAACGGACCCGACACGTGAACAGCGTACAGGGACGGACGGTACCACGGACGGACTGGGACGAAACGAACGGACGGAACGGGACGAAGCCCGACGACGGACGGGACGGACGGACGCGAACGGACGACGGAACGGACAGACAGGAACAGACAGGTGATACGATCAGACGCACGGACAGACGGAACGACAGACGAGATACGGTACAGACTGGACGGACCCAGCTACGAATACGGTTTTTCAACGGACAGACGACGGAGTATCGGTTTTTTACCCACGAGACAACGGAAGCGGACAGGAGTCCGACGCGAGCCGGAAACAGACGAAGTTACGGACGACGGTAACGACAGTTGATTCGACGGACGGACGCATGCCACGGACTAGACGATGACACAGACGGCCACGGACAGACAGACAGACAGGATCAAAGACAACGACAAGATGACAGACAGAGACAGACAGCAGACCAGACAAAGACAGAGCGGACGGACGGACGACGCGACGAGGGGACGGTGGCACGGACGGACGATCGCCAACGGATGGGAAGTCCTGCCGGAGGAGCCGGTCAACGCTACGAGCATTACGCGGAGGTCAACGACGGACGACGACGGACGGACAGGACAGACGACGACAGACAGACAGACAGACAGACGACGGCACGGACAGA